AATTTTATTTGCAGAGAATATGATATCTGAGAACACAAGGAGTACGTTATAATTTTACGTACTATTATTTCTGAAGAATAGAACACATCCAATTTTGAAATGTTTTATTTCGCGCGAAAATCCTCGGTCATTTAATTAAAAGGAAAATAGAAGGGATGGAGATAAAGTAATCCTTGGCCGTTGGAAAGAACGAAAGAGAGAAATAAATTACTCGATTGTAGAATTCGTTAACTCTCGTTTTAATGGGAAAAAGTGGTCGGTCCGTCGCGTCGCGTTCGTTTAAACGGCGCGTCCGTTTCAACTCGGACAGAGTTCCCCGAGGTGTAAAGCACCTCGTGTTTCCGCTCGCCGTGAATGTTTGAAGAGAATTACCACGTACTTGCACTTCTAATTGAAACCCGTGAAGCGAGTGCGGCGGCGTAGGATGGAGGAACGTGCCGTAAGGAGACGTGGTGAACTCGACTAGGATCTCCGTGCCGCTGCTCGTCGCTTCCGGTACCGGCTCGCCGCCCCCACAGAATTTCAGGATCACCGGGTCCCGGGTCGTGTAACCGTCGTACACCGTCACGTAATCCTGTGGATGAAATCGACCTTCTGTTTTCTAATCCCCTCGGAAGAGCGAACACCAGTGGAAATTTTACAACTTCATCTCTGTTTGTAAAGTTTCAGTGTTTTTCAGATAGATTCTCGCATTCAATTTAATTGTATATATTACAAGTGACGAGATTCGATAAATTTATTGGAAAGGCTTATTGAAAAGACTATCTTTCTAATCATTGCACATATCCTTGAATACTCTCTACTACATTTTAAACAAACTTATCAGACAGTCGACTACCTTATCTCTTTAATCAACGAGAAACCTTGCACACTCCGTCCATAAATTCCCTTTATCGCTACAGACCACGACTTGAATTTAGTTAACTGTTAATGAATTCGCCAAAGGGGTGATTTAAGAAGGCAACTCTCGCAATTTACACGGTCACGTGGTCGAATTTATCTCGACACCTCGATACCCTATTTCCACAGTTTCTGGGTGTAGCGTGCCACTTACTTGCACCAAGTCGCAGTCTTCCCAGAGGCGGAGTTCACGGGGCGACGATTCCGCCTGGGTGGCTGGCCTCGCCCTTATGGCAACCAATTGACCCCGGGGTTGTTCCACCGAAATTAAAGCGTGTTTCCCTGGTGGTACGTCATGCTGCCTCACCTGTGCCAGACGATTATACCTTCAGGAGTATTGCCTAAGAGACGTTTTCTCATAAACTTGTCTCCTCTCATAATGAAATCATATTCCATTTCTCAGTCGTATTATTCTTTTCATTTTAGAAAGTGGTACGAAATTTGTTATTAGACGTTTTTCATTAAAGAAATTAAATAAACAATTCTTTTTTTTTAATTGATAATTGGTCTTATTCAATGAATCGTCTCGTCGCTATTTTTAATTGGAAATAAACCGTGTCATTCGATTCGAACAGATATGAGCGTTAATTGAAAGGAATTGATTGGTCGGATTCTGATTTGAAAGAGTGTATCGATTAGGCGAATAAACGGGCTCGCAGGAGCGTGGTTAAATCGAATTACTTCTCGATCAAAGCACTCTCATAATTGCGCATCTCCGGTCGTACGTCCCCACGCCGTAGCATAAATGTTTACACACCATCGTGGCCCCGAACACAATCACTCCACATATTTCACGATACACTCGTGTCAAACGCTCTAGCCATTTCGCTCACTTGAATATCGGTTCATTCGTTTATCCGCAATAGAATACTCTACTCTATTGCACTTTGTGTTTCACATTCGCTATGTACTCATGTCATTTGTCTTTTATAAAATCGTTTGGAAAAACATCCACAAATCCGGGAATTGATTAACGTACAGATTCAGGTATCGATCGATAGATCTTATTTTTGACAAATGATTCTTGTCAAAAATAAATTATTTCAAGTGTTTCACTCTACTTCGCATGGAGTTGGGAATGTCCGATACGGATCATAAATTGTGTCGTGGACCGACGATTTCCGAGCTATTTGAAAATTTATGTAGCTGTCCGGGAGAAGAACGAAGTTCGAGCTCCGAGGGGATGCAGCTTCGTGACCGGAAATGGGGCGGTTTCTGATGTTTACGTAACCATTGGACACGTCCTGAGTTTTTCTTACGCTAAAGGCTAACTATGAAAAATTTATTTTTTACCTTTCATACGCCCTCGCATTTTTACGTCACAGTGCATTGATTGATGTGCAAAATGTACAGTCTCATAAATGAGATGAGAATACTGTTTGAAAAAGATGCTACAGTGATCGATCGCGTCAACCGTTGTATGAAGTATTGCATTAATTTTGATAGCAAGCATTGCATGATGAAAATGGATCAATGAACGTTAACGAAGCCACGTTGTCGGTGACCGTGACAGGGAAAACAAGGAGCGGTAATCCGAGAAGCCGTATTTCACGGGGAAATCGCGGCGAGCAAATTGAACGGGACCGGGACGCATCCAGTCGAGAACGAACCTATCCGAAACAACGTTAGTATCCGCGACGAAAATTTACGACGGCGACGTTACCCCGGCTGCAATCCGTGGACCCATTACTCTCCGTTCGGCCACTAAACTCGACTTCTCGCGCTAAATACATTCCGATGGAGGCTGAAATTTCAGCAAGCCCGCTGACTCCCGCTTCGACGACAATTGGGGGCTGGAAACTTTCTGCATGGCCGTTCGGTTCGGTTTCCGTGGGAGGCAAAGTGGCCGAGAGGGATAAAATAGTATAAGCTCCTGCTATTCGGACAGCGATTGTCTGATTAGCAACGCCGGTTAAGCGAAATCGAATTTTGTTTTCAAAGTATCTTTCAAACGATTCACCATTGGCAAACTATTCGCATGAATTCATTTAGAGTTGAACGAAAACTGTTGCAACTGTTTCAATTGGTATTTTATTCTTATTGAGAGAGAAACAGAATTATCCATTGAATATGCTAATTTTCGAGGAACTGATAATGGGTATACGATATTATTAATTCATAAATAAATTGTGTTATAAATATGAAACAGGGAATAATCTATAAATGAATATTATATTCCAACAGAAGGTCAGCATTTAAAATTTCAGTATTCTGTTGAATAATCAGAATAAAATATATCAGGAAGAAACAGTTGAATCTGATTCCTGATGGGATCAATGGACTATGATAAAAATCCGGATTATCTTCGTGCATTTTCTGTTTATTCGAAAAGTTTTCAACTCTTACCGCGTAGTAGCAGGTGAGATTGCGGGGATAGAGTCCGGGGAAGTTTGGCGACTGCAGTCGGCATTTCTTCCGGTCGCAGTTGCTGAATATGCGGGAGCAGTAGGTGCCGGATATCAGGTCCCCGAGGTATTGTTCGGTGCTCGGCTTCGTCGCCGTCGTCAGCGACGTTTGCTCGACCATCTGAACCGGCATGGCCATCGAGCTGTTCGCGTAATCGCTCGAGGACGTCGAGACCGTCGATTCCGTCGACGCCGGCATACCCGTCGCCTGCGTTATCCCTGCAATTTTTCATTCATTCATATTATCATATATACATATATTTCTCTGCGAACTCAGTAAATTTGTAATACCAGTTTACAGAATTGAATGTAAATTGGAATTACTGGGAGTGCACAGAGGATCATAATTTTTACAGATTTTTTCAATATCTTTGAAGTTCGATTATTTCTAGATTTGGTTTTCATTTACAAAGATTACTAATGCAAATATCTAAAAATGTATTTTATGATTTTACTCTAATCGTTCTCTGAGGGGATAAAGCGAAGTGGCACGTAGTTTCTTTTTTTCTAAACGGAATTAGGAACGCACCTACGAAAGGGTTTCTGTAACGCACGACGGCGTCAGATTTTCTGATCATCTTGTACGCCATTCTGAAGTCGAAATTGAATCCCGTCTGATCCTTGCTGAGCCTGAGCAGCTTCAGGGTGATGGAGACGGTCTGTGTTTCGCTGTAGTAAATCGCCGGGCCCAACGACGTGCCGCACCAGAGGCCCCCGACGTCCGGTCTCTGGGCCTCCGATATTTGCAGCGAACCGTCCGGGCAACCCTCGGCCGTGAACGACACGAATTTCCCCAGAGTGAAACTGTCGAACGTCAACTGCGAGCGGAAAATTGCGGTCAAACCTTTCCCTCTTTTTTCTGATGGAATTTTCAAATTCGTTGAACTTGGATTTTTTCATTCCCATGCATTGTTCTGTGGGAAATTGGATGATTGGAATTTAGAGAATCGGGAAATTGGAATTCTAGGAATTGATACTTGGGACTGGAAAATATGAGGTTGAGAACTGAAATTGGAAAAGCTTATTGAATTCCATTATTTAAAATTATGCGTTAATTTTAGCAAAGTCATCTCTCGATATTTCATACAATAAATAATTATTTGAGAAAATTCTTTCATAAACGTGGAAATTAAATACGAATATTGGAACAATTATTGGCTTATTATAATTTTAAATAGAACCACGTTTCAACTTGTCGTCGAGTTTTCACGTCTTTTGATAAAAGCAGGAAACATGTGGGAACGCCGGTGGAAAGGACATTGCATAAATAAATTTGGCAGCTGCTAACTTTCCCGTTCGTTTCTGTTCAAAAAGTTCTCGCAGCCACGCAGAAACGTTATTCGGGATGCTTCCCAGCGGTCTAACCGGTGCAATCCTAGCAATTTACGTTATTAAAAATTCCACCGTTAATTCCTGTCCGTCTAGCAACTGCCTTGCAACTCTTTGACTTTTTCTCATCCCTCGACACAGAAAATAGTAAAGGTCGCTTTTCGTCCTATTCCTTTCTAAAAAATTACACAGATAAATATCGCAATAAAATTAAATAAATAAATTTCAACGAGATTATGTTCATATTACAATAAGTAATATTGGGAGATTTTTTAAATGAAAATATTCCATAAATAAAATGTGCAACCTAATTACTTAAATAATGAAACGAAATTGGAATTTGAGTTTGGAGGGTTGTTTAATTATTTCCGAAGTTCAGGTATGTAGACTAGGACTGATTGCATGTGATGATCAAAGGCTTTGAACAAACGAACTTACCTGTACGATGTCTCCCAGATCGCCACCGGGTGCGCTGAACGTGAGCTTGCAAATGTAAGGCACCTTGTCTTCCTTCGGCCTGTGAAGCTCCAGGTCGTACGTTTTACCCACGTCGCCGTAATACGTTTTATTGCACGCTGCAACAAAAATTTCACAAACCTCGAAGCACTTCAATTACTTAAAGAAACTCGTAGAACAATTATTTGCGAAATCGAGGATATTTATTTGTGTAGAACGATCTCAGTTTATATTTCGCTTTCTCGACTGTCGCAAAAGTTGTATTATTTCTCTATCTCTGTCTGATTGCTAATTGGAAATCTTGATCGGAATTAAGATTTAATTTCCTCCTTGAACAATATAAATCCGAACTGAATTTAAAAGTCTCCTGGCGAGCTCCCGTGTAATCGCTACTCGACTCGATCAAAGGGATTATCCAGGTTGATTTCGAGGCCGTCCGAGCAAGGTATCGACGGAGGCACTAGATGAATTATCGATGGCCCCGGGGTCGCGGTATCTCAGACCGCTAGAAAAATTCGGTTCGAGCTTATTCGAGTTTAATGGTGAACACGAGCACTCGATCAAAGTCAACCCCGAAGGAGGACGCCATTGTGTCCACTCTGTATCGATCCCGTGTTTATTTTCGAAAATTCTTCAAATTCTTTAAATATTTTTATCTTATAAATAAAATACAAGTCTTGTGTCTTTATGAAATATGAACACGCTTCGTGTGACGCATGGAAGTGAGCAGAGATTGCAGTGAATAAATGATAAGAGAAATCTCTATTCGAAATGCATTTTTTAAATTGAATTCTTTTCCATACTGTTGCGAAGTTTATCTATTTTAAGACATTTATTGTATTAAACTAGTCGAGCAAATTATTTCTTATATGCAAATGCACGTGCGACAATTAACTCGAAATAGATTTGTTATGCAGATTATTATTTTGCTAAAAGGTATTGTTTATAATTTGCCGGATCGTAGGATACTCTTTGAGCCTCAAACTGTTGTCCATTCCGATGCATAATCGTTGCCGGATTTCCATTGGTCTGTTTCAAAGGAAACTCGGCGCCGATTAAGTTACTTTGGCTTCCTCTATCGCATGCACCGCACCGCGTGCAGAATTACATCGCGCAGAGACGGGACGGGACGGCTTGGTTACAATACTAGTTCATTGTGGGGCTTCAAGGGCTCATCACGGCCGTATGTAGGGTGGAAATCGAGGCTAACATCGCCTGGCAACGTGGACCAACACGCGCGTACACTAATACGGCAGGAGCCAGGGGGGGTGAATGGGACTGAACACAATGCACGCCATTTACAGGCATCGGGTCTCATTCCTAATCAGAATTCCAGCTTGCCTCTCCAGATACCACCTCAAATCTTCCAGATAAACTGTAACCGATCAGTCTAATCAGCCAATTTGCAGCCCTGAATTCATCCTGCACTTTCACCGTTTCCGAGTTACCGTCGAAAATGATTATAGCTATATAGGGTCTTCTCGTTGAACTTACAATTCATATTATAGATAAGAAATTTATTTAGATTCTATTCATTCAATTTTATGGAATTACTAAGAAATCTGATAATATTATTCTTTTAAATTGATAATTCTATTCGAAACATTCGACACATCTAATCCTGTTTGCATTGTTCTAATAAAACAAGCTACGTGAAANTTTATTTATTATTTCTTGACGAGGTCTTGCATGCTGCTTATAATTATAAATATTAATTGAATATATAAGACTGGACCGACGATCGTTGATTAGTATTACATTTTTTAATGTTATGCAAATTTGAAACGACCAAAGGGAGATAAATCTGTTATCCAGATTTAATCTTTTTAATAAACGTAAACAAGAAGAAGCAGATATCTACGATCTGGTTATCAGAAATGAAGATTCAAGAAACTGAATCATCAGATATGTACGCTAGGGAAAGCCAGGAAACGCATAAATCCGCGGAGAGACGAGTACATTCGACGGTAAATCCCTAGCCGCTCGTAAAAGTATCTCGCATCGCGGAACTCTTTTTTCCAGTTTCCGGCGAATTTTTCATCGCGTTTCATGATCTCTAAGATCTCCTATTTCCCAACCCGAAAACTAAACCGTGCGAGTGGATCAAAAAATTCTTTTTGGGATGTAAGCACGAGATAATAATTGAAGTAGTCATTAAGAAAAACTGTATCTCCATTTGACTGAATCTTTGATTCTGATCAGTGATTTTGCTCGAATGCTTATCGGCGACACGTTCCTTCCTCGCTTATCCTTCTTTCGTTTATGGAATACGTGGGAACTTCCGGTTGGGCGAACGTCGGTCCTGTCGTCGTTTCTCTTTGGCTCGCCCTATTTCTTTCTCAGGCACCCGGTGATTTATCCAGTTCACTTTCAGACTTCTGTGTCTCACGATACAAGTTTTATACTGTCAATCATGAAACGTTCTCGTATCGATAACATTATCAATCATTTGTGCTTTATGATCACCGGGCACCGGCTTAGCTCAACCGGTTTTCATTAACTTCGTGACAATTACGAGTTGTATGTTACATATAATTTATCCAGCAGTAATTACTTCCCTCAAAGATATTGTAGTTTAGTTTGCTGTTACGTAAAACGGAACCGGATGAACAAAAGCGTAGACAGGGACGTAGCAGAGAATTATAAATCGCGACAGCTTCCGGGAAGACACTATTCTTTCTCTTTGGAAACGGTTCAGGAGAAACGAGGTGGCTGTCCTAACGGTTGAACAGTGACAAAGGCCCATAATTCGTCAGACACCATCGGCCGAGACACCGGGGGAACGCATATCCGGCGGTGAAATGCAGCCAAGTAGTTGATGCCAGTCATTAGTCAGCAGGCGGGAGACGTATACCGCGTCGAGGAGATGCCGTTGCCCGGGAACTTTCGTAATTTGACGTAACAGATGCACCTGCTGAATTCGTAATACCACGGCCGACCGACTATCGGTTTCCAATACCGAATCCTGTCATTAAACCTAACGACGACGTGTGTATATTGAATTACATACCAAATCCAACTGCTCCATTTTAATTCATGCTGTCTTTTATTTTTCACTAGCCACCATTTTGAGCTTCACTTGATATTTAAGAGAAATGTTCCTTAAATATTTAAGAATGATTCGTCTTTAAATTCCCTCATTAAATTGATAAGGTATTTATTTCTGATCTTTTTCCTAAATGAAGAACGGTTTACTTTTCTTTCAAAGAAGTAAAAGTTCTTCAGTTTCTTCAGAATAATTGCAAACTATCCTTTAATCTCGGTAAATACAAAACTGAAGGGTTGCGGATTTCCAATTCCAAAGATAGATTTATCATAAATTCGGTAATGACCCAGAGATAAAAATTGTTGATAGAAAAAATCGGCTCGTACGATCACCCTGGGTTATCGAATTCTAAGCACGACTCGAGTCGATTGAATCAGCTGGAAGCCTGTTGAGCCCGTCCGGGCGTCTCCTTTCTTGTCACCGGGCTCCCCATTTTCCACGAAGAGGATCCATTTCCAAGAGAGATGCACCGATGAGGGAAGCCAATATGGTGATACCGTGCGATCAGTGGCCTATCAACCGGAGTGCTTTTGCGGCTTCCCCTCGTGGTGAATAAAAAAAAAAAATCACTCGCGGGACGTTTGATCGCGAGATACAGAAAGACTTATGTATGTTATGTACTTCTCTTTATTCCTCATGTCGGTCATTCTTTTATTCATCTTCGATTTCGACTCTCAACAATGACAAACGTTGCTTTAATTGTTTCATCGTGAATTTCAATGCTTCATTTATTGTATTTTCTTATACAAGCTTGACAAACAGTTAAACAATTATATATTTTAGGTGATTCATGCAAGAAAATTAGAAATCCTCACGCAGTATTTTTAGTTAAAAAATTAAACTGACTATTCTTGTAGATTCAGTATAATATTACGTACATAATAAGCGTTTTTAAAGAGATTGCATTTTTCAATTAGAAAAAGGAAGTGAGCTGAGCAAATTGAATGGGTTTCATGAGGAAAATGGGAAATTTCCATAGTTAAAGTAAGCAGGAAATTAGGAAAATGTAGCCGCGGGAATTGGGATTTGTAGGCGCGACTGGCGTATCGCCAATCGCAGACTAACACTACTTGGCAACTGGGATTCGACTCTGGACCATAAACAAGCTACCCTCGCCGACTGCTCGCGATTAACCCTTTAGAACCAGCACGAAATACTGGCCACTACCGAGGGGCGATGCATATTCTCTAATTGAGACTCTCTTCAAACCTCGCTTAGTACACTTTTTCGTTACGGTTTTTTACGTAAAATAAAACATGCGAACGCAGTGCAGCGTATGCAGTTAAAAATGCATACAATATGAAACAGAAATCATTTTTATCATATAATTATTACGATATGTACTCAATTTCGCACAGCTTGCGATTTCTGGATAGTCAATTTTTCCCTGTACATGAAACTCGCGTATGAACTTCGCCATGCAGAAAGTTGAACACTCATTAACTTTAATTAAATCTCACTAATTGGACAATAGTTATAAATTCATGTGCATGTAAAATTGAAGATACGATAATTACTCCGTGAAATGGAGCTCGCATTCGTATCGCGCGAAATTATGTGACGAAATGTTTGAAAACGAATGCATTATGAAAATGTGCGTTTTAATCATGCGGTGTCAGGTTGAAAATTTCATGCCGGAGTACGGAATTCGTCTGGTCGTTTATCGGAGGGGTGGCTGGTTGGTAGCCGCCGGCTAAAAGAGAATCCAGAGGGATCGTTTCCTCTTCCCCGCTTTTGAAACATTCGCAGCCGCCGGCGACGAATGTTGCCAGCGGAACGCGTAAGGATCGACGCGCCACCACGTAGAGGAAAAAAAGAAATGGAAATATAAAGTACGCGTTGCTGGGATAAGCGAGACGATGGTCGGGAGGCTGGGTGCAGCCGTGGGTGCTCGTTTTCCAAAGGGGACCAGCTGCTTTCATGCCTCGAATCGAACACACACGCAATTTCAATCACCGTCTACAGTTTTTCCTAGTTTTCCTCCTTTTACTGTCTTCCACGTGATTTACAACGGTTTCTTCCATTAATTAGAGATGATGACTTTGGTTGAATAGAATTTTAAACGAAAATATA